CCCCCAGGTCCCTCTCTGACTGGCAGCTCTCCAGCCACTCCTCCCCAAGCCTGTAGCGCTGCTGGGGGTTGTTGTGCCCAAGTGCAGCCCCCGGCATTTGGCCTTATTGAAACTCCTCCAGTTGGCCTCAGCCCATTGCTCCAGCCTGTCCAGGTCTCTCTGCAGAGCCTCCCTACCCTGGGGCAGATCAACACTCCCACCCAACTTGGTGTCATCTGCAAACTGACTGAGGGTTCACTCAATCCCCTTGTCTAGATCATCAACAAAGATGTTAGACAGGAGTGGCCCCAAAACCGAGGCCTGGGGGACACCACTTGTGACCAGCCACCAACCAGATTTAACTCCATTAACCACAACTCTTTGGGCCCGGCCATCCAGCCAGTTTTTACCCAGTGAAGCGTGTGCTCATCCAAGCCGCAAGCAGCCGGTTTCACCAGGAGAATGCTGTGGGAAATGGTGTCAAAGGCCTTACTGAAGTCAAAGTAAACAACATGCACAGCCTTTCCCTCATCCAGTAAGGTTGCCCTGTCATAGGAGATCAGGTTTCATAAACCCATGCTGACTAGGCCTGATCCCCTGGTTGGCCATTATATGACATGTTAGTACCTTGTCCCTGAGGAATGGCTGTCAGAGTGCTGCTAATGGTGGTACACAAGCAATTTCTCTTGAGTCTTGAGGTGCTTCCTGTTTTCTTACCCAAATGTGGTAAACAAGGGGTGGTAAAGTGTAGACAGAGACAAACCTCTGTGTGTTTGGGGAACAGGAGAAGGAAGTTATGAAAGCTGAAGATGTATGATATGCTTCAGGTAACTGTCTCAGGTCACACCTGATCACTCAGGGATGGTGGAGACCTCAGTGGAGTTTAACATAGAATCCCAAAGATGCCTCAGCCTTCTAGGCTTCAGGAGCTCTTTTGTTCAAATCCATACTTTTATTTCTGAGTAAAGTGTGCCCTAAGCTGCCCTCAGTGTGAATAATCCAGCTCCAGCTGTATTAGTAGCAATCATCTCTGAATGATGGCATCAGACTTTCTGTTTTTTATAACCAAGTCTAAATACGAGGGGAGGAGATGTGATTCATCATGTGGTTCTGAAATAGACTTCAGAGAAGAGGCCAGGCCAACACCTGTGCATGATGCAGTGCTTTCTTGAGCTGTTCCAGGATAGGAAGTAATATTGTTGATGAGGTTGAGGGTTGTGCCCTACCATCCATAATGCAAGTTATGTGTATGTTGTCCCTTCTGATGATAAACTGCTCTGTTCTTTGCAGTGGAAGTGTTACAGAGCCTTGTGTCAGTAGAAGTGGAGCCACTGCCCGAGGCAGTAATACAAACCTTTGCTGCTCAAATACAGAGATCTACATCACAGACAGATATTCCTGATGCTGACCTTTCAGTCGTGGACTCCAAAATTGTGATGAGTCTCATGCCCTTTCAGCGGGAAGGTGTGAAGTATGTCCTTTTTGCATGCTGTTAAAAGAGCCAGTCCTTTCTCAGAACTGTGTACTTTATATTGGTGCCCAGGCTGCATTCTGTTCATGCAGGGCTCCACATTTCTCCAGTCTTGGGCTGTTACATACTGGCAGTCTGAGCTCTTGGTTGTTTGGTAGGGTATGGTTTGTTTTGTTGGGGGGAGGGGGTGGGGTGGGGAGGTGTGGATTTATTGTTTGTTTTTTTTTTCTTTGGGTGACACATCTATCCTGCTTCTAGCTAGAATTCTTCATCATGAGTCAGAAGAAAAATAGCATTTTGCTGGTCTCATAAAATTGATCAATACATCTCTGATCTCCCTCTTGTGATTCACTATATGCCTAATTGTCACATGATTTTTTTTTTTAAATTTTGTAAGGTCATCTTCACCCCACCCCAAGTGTGTCTCTTGTGGTGGTGGTGGTTTTTAAATATTAACTACACAAAGGAAAGTCCCAGGAAGCAGGACCCAGGCCTTGAAAGATTTAAAATGACTAATTGTATGTAGAGATAAACTTTTAAATGTCTCTGTCCCCATTATATATGGTCATTAGTTGTCGACTTCAAGATGCAGCCCAGGAAAGTCTGTACTTAGTGGTGTTAAAGTGACTCTGTTATTAATAATATTTTCTTAGCTCAGCCAGGATGAACTCTGGGACAGAATGCAAGTAATATCATGGAAGAATGTGCTTTAAATAACTGTAAGGTCTTGAGACTACTCTTCATATGAAATCAAAGTCCCTAAGGACTGGGCTGAACCATTCTGTTCTGGAGCTTCCAAGCTTTGAGGGATTTGTGAGAGTTGCTCACTTGTGTTAAGACTAAAGGAGAAGATCCAAATTTACTGAAGAACCCAGATCACTTCCAGGCTGATCACTTTATAGGCTTGGTGAGGAGTTGTGCTCATCTGCTATGACAGATAGTAACCCATTTCTTGTCTCTTACTTATGTCCTCTCTCTATTGTCCCAGTTTCGCAATTTCAAGAAATGGACGTTTACTTCTTGCGGATGACATGGGCCTGGGCAAGACCATCCAGGCGATCTGCATTGCTGCTTATTACCGAAAGGAATGGCCCTTGCTGGTGGTGACTCCTTCTTCTGTGAGGTTTACATGGGCAGAGGTACTGTGAGCTCGTACTCTGTACAAGTTAAAATTTTAAGAAGATGAATATTAAGGGGAAGAAACTAAAAATTGTACTCATTTAGAAACTTGCAGGAGGGAAATTGCTTGGCATCAACTATATGGTATATGTCTGTTTTCTTTTATGGCTGATTTTCTTTTTGTGGTCCAGCTGATTGATCTGTTGGAAGGAGGGAGATCTAGAGAAAGTATCTTCTCTGACCCTCTTGTTAACGTTGTTCCGGCAAGTCAACTGGCTCTAAGGGGGCATTTACTCATCAGTGTCAAAGACAATAGTTGTATTCAAGCAATTGTCAGTTGCATTCAAGCCCTTCGTAGTAGTATTTGCCAATCCCTTGGCTGGAATAGAAGCCCAGATGCTGGTATTCTCTGCTCTGTTCAAGAGGCCCTGTTATCATCATTATTAAATGTCTGTCATAATACGTGTTTTGGCCTGTCCACTGTATGCTGCTGACTCCTCTGAGTCCTTTATTAACGTTGATCAGAAGCCCAAGAAAGCTTGGGTGGCTGGGAGATGTGTCTTGAAATAAATCACTATCATGGCTTATACACTGAGCCTGTTGGGTTGCTATAGGCTAGTGAAATGTTCACTGTGGAAGGAAAAAGGTGAGCCAGAGGTTTTAGGTCAGTAATTTCATGCCTGAGCAGGAGAGGATGGGAGCTTAGCTTTCCCTGGAATGTTGCGTTGATGAGAAGTGTATCGATTGGGATTTGCTGGCTTTGTGCTGTAACCAGTTGTTAGAGCATCTTGGTGTGTGTTTTCACATCCAGTAGTGCAACAAAATCTTGGCTGACAAGAAAATAAAATTGTTTACTAAACAAGGGAGTGATGCTCATCATGTTTGATATTTCAAAGGTCCATAGATCTCTGGGTCAATACCTAACCTGAATTCTGTGGGATACCTACTGGGAATGATTTGAGGTCTGGTTTCCTGAAGTACTGGGCACCTGCAGCTAAGCTCCTACATCCTGTTTCAAGAGATCTAAGCAATATGAGGTGTTTGTTTTGTTGGTTTTTTTTTTCCTTGAGTGCTTGATTTCCTCTTCCTTCCCCTACTCCTGACTCCCCAGGAGGCTGTTGTAGGAGATATTTTGTTAGGACATTTGCTTTAAAATGATCTATGTTTCTTTATGGGTGTGTGAAGGATGCAGGTCAAAGAAAAATGTGTCACAGAAAGTGGAAGAAGGTAGAGTTTATTATGGTCTCTAATCCACTCAGTTCGTTCTTCTACAGATGTGTTTTACTGTAATGGTAGAAGGTTTTGTGGTGTCTCCAGAGCTGAATTGCCAGAAATGGTCTTCATCTCACAGTTGTCAGTGGTTTATTTTGGCTTTCTGGCCTCAGACTGCTGAGTGCCTTTATATTCAAGCTGCCACAGGAAGCTAGTGGGAAGATGCACGGTGCTCTTGGGTGAGAAGTACTGCAGCCATGGGCATTTGGACTTCAGCACTGGAACTTAAGTAATTAAGTCAGTGCAGTTTCAAAGAACTTCTTGTGGACAAACATCAGCATCAAGTGAGAAACATAGGATCACTTTTATGATGTAAATTATCCACATGCCCTTTATAAAAGGAGAGGGCAGTACACCTAGGAGCTTCCAGGTACTTTCTCATTGCTGCCACCTTCATCTGAGTTTTGGTCTAGTGTCAGCCACATATTTTTTGGGATCTAACCTTGCCTGCATGTTCACCCATTTTGTTTGTGGTGCTATGCTGTGTTTGTGTGTGGTGGGGTTTTTGCTACAGAGGTGGCCCCCTGTGAGAAGCTTCTCAAGGTTTCCCTGGCTCCAAGTCAGACCTGCTTCTGTACCAAGGCTGGGCCAGTTAGTGATAGTGGTGGCACCTCTGTGATAACGTATTTAGAAAGGGGAACCTGGGAGGAGGAGTTGCGAGGAGGACACCTATGTGAGGTCAGTGGAAGAAAGGAGGGGGAAGGGGGTAGGTGTGCTGGTGCAGAGCCACTCCCTTGCAGCTCATGATGAGAGGGCAGGCTGCCCCCCTGCCACCCATGGAGGTCCCTAGCAGAGCAGAGACCCACCTGCAGCCTGTGGAGGACCCCACGCTGGAGCAGGTGACTGTGCCCAAAGGAGGCCATGGCTCTGCGGGATGAAGCCCCTGCTGTTGTAGTTCAGCACTGGGAGGATTGCGACACGCTGGAGCAACACACACTGGAGCACCTAGGAAGATGCTGCGGCCTGTGGGAAGGGCTCAGGTTGGAGAAGGTGTGTGGAGGACTGTCTCCCGTGAGAGGGAACCATGCTGGAGCAGGAGAAGAATGCAAGGAGTTCCCCTACCACACCCTGAGGAGGAAGAAGTGGCATGACTGACTGCACCCCCCATTCTTCCTCCTTGAGCATGTAGAGAAATAAGGAGCAAAGCTAAGCCTGGAAAGAAGGGAGGGGTGGGGGAAGGTGTTTTTAAGATGTGGTAATGCTTCTCACTGTCCTACTCTGTCTGTTAAATGTTGTTGTTAGTGTCTCAATTAAATTGGTATTCTTTTTCTTCCCCTGATGAGTCTGTCTTTTATCCATGACTGTAATGGGTGAGTCATCCCTCTTTGTCCTTATCTTGATTCCTGAGCCTTTTGCTTTATTTTTTCCTTCCCAGTCCTGAGGGGGAAGGGGTGAGTGAGTGGCTGCATGGTGCTCAGTTGCCCTCTGAGTTCAAACCATGACAAGTGCTTACCATAAATGGTGAAGGGTAGTTAATCATTAGTTTCTTACATACTGAGAAATGTGAGAAGCTCACGTTTAACTCCTGTCTGCTTCATGAGGATGCCAAACACGAGGACAGGAATGATGCTTGAGGGATTTCTATAAATGAAGGGCCTGGAGACAGAGGTGCCATTTCTCACTTGGATACAGCATTGTAGGGACCAGATCATGATTGCTAAAGCCCCAGCCAATTCTTTGCAGAGCAGCATCAGCAGAATGTTGCAGAGAGGTTGGTGTCATTTGGGACACAATTACAAGGGAAATGGTGGGTGCTTGGTAGCTAACAGATGGGTTTGGGAGAGGATATCTTGCTCTGGTGTGTGGAGCATTTCAAGAGGTTGATTTGAATGACTATCACCACATGTATTTCAGCTGCTGTCATAGAGCAGCTGGTGTGTTGTCAACTTGATCTTTTAATTTTGTTTGGGTTTTTTTGTAGATTTTTTAAGAAGGAGAGGTAGTGGAAGGGTTTTTCTTGATCTGGATGAGTTGTACTTTATCCTTGCTGTGGAGTAAACATGGCCACAGTGATAGATGTTTACTGCTTAGAAGTCTTGTGTTTTAGAGCCTGAGGTTTCCTGTTGAGGGGGAAAGCTAATTTTCCCTGTCAGTAGTGGTCACTGCATTCTGTGGCTCTGAGCATAGCAGGTAACGTTGTTGGGAGGTTATGCACATTTCTACTACAGATATTATTTTTTTTATTATTACTAAGAAGCAAGAATAGAGCATGTTTGAGCCTTCTCAGCTGCGGAAGGTAGATTTGGCCTTCTGGCCTGGGTTCTGTTCTTGATCTTCCCGTTACTAGGGTTGTTGCCTTGATGAGGCTGCTTACCCTTACTGTGCTTCCAGCTGATGTCAGGTGGTGGATGGGGTGGCTTCATGTTCTAAGCATTTATGAGGATGCTCTGTGAAGTGCTTTGGGATCCTGATAGGGGACATAAGCACCAGAATGCAATTAATTGCTTTCCTCTTCCTCCAGGCATTTCACAGGTGGCTTCCATCCTTGAGTCCAGGTAGCACCAATGTCATAGTGAGTGGCAAAGACAAACTAACAGCAAGCTTGATCAACATTGTCAGCTTTGACCTTCTCAGCAAGATGGACAAGAAACTTAAGAGCACTTTCCAAGTAGTTATTATTGTAAGTGGTACACTTAAAATTTTGAAGTTAATTGTATGCTGCAAATGGGGTAACCTTTGTGTTGTACGGGAGAGAAGTGTGAAGTGGGCCTTATTGAGGACTGAAACTATCTTGTAGTGGTGGCTGTGATCACAGCTCTCTTCATAAGTAGAAGCAGGAGGTTTCTCTGAAACCTTTTGAGTTAACTAGTAGAGTTTGATTCCTGAGGCTGTTTTCTCTTTCACTGGTTATAGTACCTCTCTAGTTTCATTGTGGTTGGGCATGTCCTCTGCTGGAGAGAAAGGAGTTCAACGTGGTGTGTCAATTGGAATTGTATCTTTTTAAGGGGATTGGACTTCAGGTTGGTGTTAGTGTTTATCCCGTAAACCAGATAACTTCTAAACATCAAGTATGTGGGTAAAGCATCAAAAAATCTCACCTTGCTTGTGTTCCACTGACAATCTGCTTTAAGCCTTCTTTGATCACTTGCATCATTTCTTAATTAGTTTGAAACCCATTTTTTAACCTTTTACAGAGTCACAATAAAAGGTGTTTTTCTAAATTTCAGTTACTAAATATTCAAAACATCTAGTGTTTCAAATATAGCTTGGATCAGTAAAGACCAAAAGTGTATGCATGACTTACTATGAGTGTTTGATGTTCTCAGTCTAGTTTTTTAGCACACATGCACCTGTCCCTAAGATAATGACAATTGGAACATAATCCTTTTGTTTCTCAAGATCAGATGGGAATGTGGGAATAGATGGAGCTCTTTGGAGACCAAACTACTCATGGGAATTTTTTTAAAATTTTTTTTCCCCTGCTCACTCTGACAAGAGTTAGGGTGGAAATGCATATTGTTACTTCTGTATGTTGGTGCTTGGAGTAAAGGGACTTGGGCTCTAGGGCTACTACCCTGGAACCTTTTACCAGCCCTGAGCTGGCAGATGTTGTTTCTGTGTGTTTATATGTTAAAATCTGGACCCTGTATATGTTTTTACAGATGAGAGTAGCCCTACTGAGTGCTGAGCTTCCCTGCTTTTCCTTCCAGTCTTTTTTTGATGGCTGGGAACATTAATGTAGCTGATTTGTTAATCAGGAGGAAGAAGGCTGTGCTTGAGAGGCTAAGCAGCTGTATTATCTTTGCATCCATGGTTGCTTGCTCATCTACATGTGGAAAGATGAGACTGTACCCTTGGAGGGCGCCGATTACTTTTTGTGTCTAAGTTCTGCTTTGCTACAGTGGTAGAAATGAAGCCTGTTTGGGGGTGATGTCTCACGTAGGAGGCTGTTATCCACCTGGTGAGCCCTATCAGCAGAACAGTTGGATCCTAATTAGATTTCTTTTTTCCTTATGGTTTTCATTAACCCGTTATTTAGAGAAGTGGCACTGTATAGGCCTCCTATGTTTGGTGCATTTAAAGGACACACAGGGGCAAATGAATATTGGTGGTGGAAATAATGTTCCTCTTTCTCCAGCCCTCTCTGCTCACTTGTTTGCAGTTGTTTGAGATTTATGGCTTTAAGGTTTGATTCTGTTCCATTTACTTGCAGCTGTGGGTTTGAATGTAGGAATCCTGCTACTCTCCAAGCTGTCTTTTCATTTAGAATTTAATATGACTATCCCAGTGCTTGAAATACCCTCCGGGATGATAGGCTTGTAATACTAGATAACTGAGAATACTGAGAATTTGTTCTGTAGCCTGCCGTTGGACTATGGATCAGAACTATCTTCACTTTCATGCTTGTTTTGTTTCAGGATGAATCTCATTTCCTAAAGAACATAAAAACTGCACGATGCCAAGCTGCCATGCCTCTACTCAAGGTGCGTATGCTGAGTGCCAAACCTCCAGCAGCTAAGGTCAGGCTCCCAAAGCAGTGTTGCTCCATTTACCAGGTTTTGGAGTCAGGAGCTGAATTCTGTTGTTGTGCAAGTGGAAATTCAGGTAACATTGTAGATCCAAGAGCAAAATTTGTCTCTGGCATGGCTACTTCTTTCTGTACAAATGTTAGATGGTAAGGCCTAACAAAAGAACTGTTAGAATCTCCCTTGATCTAATTGTGTTACTGCCAGTGATGAGTTTTATGTTGATGGGGAAAAAAGAGAATGTCAAAACTTACTAAATATTTTCAGGAAAAGTAGAAAGAATGTAGTAGTGTCAACATCTTGTTTAATGGAAATAATCAGTATCAGTTACTTCTTGGCACACAGATTACTGCTGTATATCAAAATGACATTACCTAGGTCTCTTCCTTGGCTTTGGGCTCTACTTTGTTACTGCAAGCTTCCAATGTATTTGTGTGGCTAGGGTTCAGGAGGAATGTTCCTGTTGGTAAGCATACAGAACTAGCAGGAAATGGCAGAATGTGAGGTTAGCAAGACAGGTGGCCCACAGAAGGGAGGCAATATTCAATTATGCGATAACAGGAGAAATGTAAATTTTAATGTCTGCCTGTTGTCCTGGGATCAAGGAATCAAATTCTCCCTGGTAGCCTCTAAGCAGATTAAAGTTATGAGTAGTTTCTAGACACTGGAGTCTGTACATTAGAACAAGGTAAATGCAGTTCCCTTCAGCAATTATCATCAAGTGTGTATAAAGAGAAGATTCAATCTGCAATGGCTTTAGAGCAACCAACTTTTATATGCAAGATTCTTAATAGCAAACCAAAGGTGGCTGTCCTTGAGTAACTTCATTCTCTTTAAAGGCCTGACTCTTGTCTTCTCTTGGCTTTCAAATCATTTCAGGCTTTTAACGTTTGGAAACTAAGTAGGAGGTCCAATTTTATGAGCAGTTTGAAGTACAGTAATTAGGGTATATATCTGAAAATGGTGGAAAATAACAAATTCGCCTCATTGCAAAATGCTCAACAAGTGGTCTTATCTTTTCCTGCTTGTAGCTTTGTAAGGATCAGCTTGTCAAAGTTATTTGCAGTCTGGAAGATAGGAGAGTGAAAGATGGTAACTGTTAAGCGGAGGTTAATTGCCTGTATGCACTTACTGAGAATTTAGTTTTATGCTGTCATATCACTGGTCTTAGAGAACTGAGAATGGGTGCTTCTGAAACTGAATTTCAGCCTTCTAGAAGCATTAAGGGTTTCATGTTCATATCATGCATTATCTCACCTGCGAACACCATACTGTACCAGATGTTTTGTGTTAGGTACATTTTATTCTCCTGCTTGCTGACTATAACTTCTGAAGCAGGTACTTGCTATAATAGCTACTATTCTGCCCTCCTTGCTTTCCAACACAGGGGTTTTGCTCTAAAACTAGCCCCTTTGACAGCTTTGTCTTCAACTACTAGTGAGTGATGTTGTGTTCATTAATGGCATGACACATCACATCACATTAAAACTTTCATATTTGAAAGAACTGCCAGAATAGGAGGAGTTTTCACCATTCAAAACTGCATTTATCAACTGTACTGTGTCAACTTTATAGTAAATAGTCAATGGGATAAAAATGGGAGTATTTTCAGTATTTTACATGATACTTTGAGATTACTGAATAAGAGGCATTGATAAACATGTTGCTGAGGATTACTTTGTGTTAAAAGGATTAGAGCAGTACTGGAGCTCTTAGAAGAGACCAAAAAAAGGTGTATCTGTAGGCAAGCCCATGAAAGGTACACTGCTGGTAGCACCATGGTCCCTACTTCAAGATCAGAGTGTGAAGCCATGACAGCGGTGTAACCAGAGCCCCAGGAGTCATCTCATGCCTTGTCTACTTTGTAAATGTTGCCACTTCTGGCTGTTGGTAGTGTTATGCCACTTTAATCTTTCTGAAATTGCCATAGTTGCTTATATTTTCTACAAGGTTCCAAACATCCTAAAGCATGAGAGCTTAGCCTTGAACTGACTTTTGAGGACAGAAGGGAAAAAAACCCCAAACCTAAGAAATGTGATCCTTGGTCCTTGCATACTGCAGAGATTTATGACTCCATAATGACACTGGACAGATCTAAGTTAAAATGTTTGATCCTGAAATGTTTCTGTCACTTCCATCCATTCTTAATGGATTCGTTTTATCTTGACAGAATCTGCTTCTGTGACTTCTCTATTTGAATAATAAGTAAAATATTAAAATTGTTGTATTTAGACAGAACTGCACAATAATCAGAATAAATCAATACATTCATAATAAAGATTACTTATGTTGGATATTAATTTAGCAACTGTCTTGTTAGACAGCTAAGCTGTATCTCCACCTCTGAAATATTTAACCCATGGCTACAGCGTTTAAAGCCTAATTTTAGTTTTAATATCCGACTGGTTTTCAGAATGAAGTAGTATTTTTAGCCACTCAGTAATAATTCATCTTTTCCTGCCCTCTTGTATATATTGTGGAGCAAGAGTGGTGTGGAATTGTCAGGCAGAACCATGTATTAAATACATGGCCTAAGTTTGTCACTTGGGGGCTTCCAGACATTTTTTTTTAATATTAAAAAAACCCACAAACTCTGTGTGTGGTGCGGTATTTGGTGTGTGTAGTGTTCAGTATCTGTTGTGACATACTTAGCTGCTACTCTGACAGATTTAGGAAAGTTTTGCTTGGGGCAGTAGGAAGTGTGATTGAACTTTTATAATGGCTGGATGTATGCAATGACCATGCTTGCTACCTGGTAGCTTGCCCCAGGTTGTCAGTAGTTTAGGGTAAGTATATAGACATGTTGTGCCTAATTTATTGTTACTGGTCAAAACTTTGAGAGGAACTTATAAACAGTAAGACAGGGTGAGCTGAAACAGCAGCAGCAAAATGTTTAGGCCAGGTTTCTTATTCCTTTAAATGTTCCCAGTGGATGTGCAAACTTGTGGGTGTGCGGAGTTGTACATGGGGGAGAATGCTTCATCCACCTGCATGGAACTGCGTGTCAAGAGTTTGTACACAGTCCGTGTGCAACCCTGCAAAATTATGGAGGCAGTTGGATTGAAAGCTGCAGTAGAAAACAGTCCTTTGATGTTTTGGCATGTGCCAAAAATCCTGCTCTCAAGCTCAGCCAGCTTTCACAGTGGCCAGTCTGTGCTAGCAGCTGCATGAGATCTGTCCCCAGCTTCAGCATCTCTCATGGTACTCAAGAGAGCTAGAAGTTCCTCTGTTCAAAGCAGTCCCTTTCTCTGGTTTCCACACACATCAAAGTGAGAACAGTCACACTGTTGGGCTTTGGTTGAGTCACCAGAAAGCCTGGTCAGACCTGGCTTGTCCCTGCTGCTAATCCAGAGCTGTGACAATCAGTAACAGGACCTACTCCTGTCACCTTGTTTACTTTAGTCTCATGTTTGAGACTGAGTTCTCCTGGGTGTACTGACAATACAGGTTGTTCCCTTCGCCTCTGCCCTGCCTCAGCCTCCCTCAGAAGCAGAAAGTGTCATGGTATTTGATTTACCTTCCAAGATTAGACTGGCCCAGAGACATGAGTTTAGGAGAGGGACTATATATCTACTAATATCCATGGAACAACAAAGCCCAGGGATGTAGATGAAGAAAAAACGACAAACCAGAAGTTTTTCACTGATCTGTGATGGAATCTCTTGGGGACTGGAGTGAAAAGGATTCCACGTCGTTCAACCAGCCAAAGTGCTGCATGGTATTTGTTCTTCTGTAGATGTATGGAGTACTGCAAGGCAGTGGAAACTGGGGATGGTCCCAATGGAACATGGGTGAGTTGTTTGGAAGCATGACAGTAAGTTTTTAGTGAAGAACTAGTTAGGTTAGAAACAGAGAATTAAAAAGTAGTATCTAATCAAAGATTCTAATGGCATAAAATAGTCTTATTCCTATTGTATTCCCCATGGGCTTTGTTCCACAACATTTGGGTAATATTACTAATGTGATTTTTCCTATTGAGCTGCTGTTCAGGTTAATAGCATGATGCACATCCTAGTGTTTGCAGGGTTAAAGGTCTTTGTTTCTATTACGGAATTTCAAATACATTGTGTGGCTGGAATCTAATACTCTTTGTGCTTGTTTTAATAAAGAGATGCGTAAAAGTAATGGAGGGGAATAGGTCAGCGCTGGAGGTAGAAGGTGAGGAGAGAACACAAAATTCTCCCTTTTCAGTGGAAATACGTAGTGGGTGTCTTCAGGGATTACAAATCCATGTGGATTGGATAAATAAACCTTTGCTTGTTGTCATCTGCTGAGAGAAGGACCTTCGTCTTGAAGTTGGAGAAGCTTTGTCTGCATCTTCAGATCTACTCTTACCTTCCAGTTTCCCTTCCTTCTCGAAATAGGGAGGTAGTGTAATTTTCTCCAGTCATAGCTGATCGTCACCATTTGACACAGATTCTATGTCTAGATGTCGCTTAAGAATAGGGAGAGACATTTCTGGTTTTTGGAATAACCACTGTAGGATCATCTTATGAAATGCAGAGCCCTGTCTATCTTACCCAAGTACAGAAACAGACTCCTCAAAACAGCTGCAACCCTTTCTGTTTATCAAAACTTCTATTTCATCAGGTGATTATCTCTATTTTATTATGGCCACTCTCTAATCTTTTATTTCACAGGACAAGGTATTCTTATGTTAAGCAATTCAAAGTGACAGAGTAAGCAAAAACTAGGGACACAAGTAATTTTACAGCCAGAACCAGCCACACTTGTTTAAAAAATGTACGTCAGTCTGTTAACATATGGCAGAGCTCATGCTGTGAAATTCATTTAACACAGAAACAGTCATTGTATGTTAATGAGGCTCTTTGCATGTTCAATTATTTCTTTGTGGCATAAACCCCCTTCTCACCTACTCCCCTTTGAACCAGTTAGGTGCTGGGTTTTGAAGTAAGTGCCATCGGGGTTTACCATTTCATAAATTACTCTTTGACATTCAAATGTGACTTGTGTAAATGTTGTCACAGCTGTGGAATTAATTCTTGCTGGTGTATCGTGTGTGCAAGTGTAATGCTACAAAGACAATTGTCTTATGTTACTTAGTAAATGAGGGCTACAGACCAGCTCTCCACTAGTCAAGTCACTGTCAGAGTTCCCGTGGGCAATCTCACAAGAAAGTAGCTGTAAGAACAGTCACAAGGACACATGAGAGAGAGGAGTACTTCTGGGGAAGATTAACCTTCGTGCCTAAATGCTAATGAGCAGCAAATGTTAGTTCTCCTATGTGTAAATATGCATCAACTGATTACAGATCTGGTTTTACTAGAAAGTCCCTGCAATCTTATTTTCTGTGCTGTTGTTCCATATTATTCTTATAGGCCTCAGAAGAAAGGGTGTAAGCTCTCATTCTTGACAGCACAGAAGGTTCAGCAGGAAACAAGAATTAGGCAGTGATCAGCAGAGACTTCTCTGCAGGAGCAAATCTTTATTGGCATCTATTCAAAATGAATTGCCACTAGAAAAAGAAATGTGAATCAAAGACATTTCTTTCATCCAGAATTTAAAGAAGCCTTCAACACTCAGAAACTTGTCTTCCTAGGATTTTTTTTTTCTTCTTTCTTGGGCTCCTTCTGTCATGGATTTTAAAACTGAAAGGGACCCTTGAGATACTGAGTTAGACCACCTGTATTCCACAGAATTTTCTGAAATTAATTTCTTTAAGTTCTTAACAGCTCTCGTAGAGCTGGTGTCTTCTGTTTTTTTGGTTGGTTTGGGGTTTTTTTACTGTTTTTTAATTCTCAGTTTGTTTAAAATGATTTATTATGGAAGGTGTATCACAGCACTTGATAATGGTTAGATGCCCTGTCCAGAAGTAAGTTGTGTGCAGCACAGAAGCAGCTGGACAACTGATAGCAGAATTGATATAACCTATAACTTCATCATTCTCTCTTTCGGTAACTATTTGGGGAAGAAGCTTGACTAATTGTTGTGACTACTGGGGAATTAGTGTTCCAGTATCGTCTCATGTAGCTCCTGGGGAACACCCTCCAAATAGGAGGAGCTTTGAGGATGGCAGAAGACCTTTCAACACAGTTGGGTTTATGTTGCATTTAATATGTCCCAGGTCTGTTCTGAGTGAACTTTTCTTGCTTTACCTTCATCCACAGTTACTTGAAATGAGCAGTCTGTAATTGCATGACCTCCATGTTGTCTTTTTCCTAGCAGTGGCCTTCTGTTAGTCCAAGAGGAAAAAGTTTAATTTGGAGGTTTCTTGCACATGTGGGACTAGCTTGTCTTGTGTTTCGGCAGATTTCTGAGGGTGGTGTCAACTTATTTCTCAAAGGCTTCTGCAGGGCATCACGTATTGTCTAGGATCTGCTCAGTTGTCCTCCACTGTTACCTTAATTTTAAAAACTGACCTAATTTCTGCTTTATCACTTTGTTTCCTCATAGGATCTGATATCTTTAGTCTCTGTGACTCCTCTGTCTTTTGAGTATCATAGGCATCTGTCTTGTGCGAACTATAATAGCTTTCACCTTCTGACATGTCCAGAGGTTTGACCTCTCCTCTTACTTAGTTCAATAAATATCCTGCTTTTTTAAATGTGTATGGGAATTGTCTGATCCTGGGGGTGACCATAGTTCCTTCTGATCTGTTTAATAGGGATGGATGGAGAAGGCAAGACCCATCTTCATTACAACCTACATATAAATATCTGATAATGAGTCCTGAAATTAATTTCCGGTAGCTGATCTGTGAACTCTTTTTCTAACAGATTTGGTTGGCGAGTGGATGAATCAGCTGAATAGATTTGGGTGACTGGTAGATCTCAGTGAATTGATAAAAGAATTTCATTTTCTTTTTCATTTAAATGTGAATGAGCTGTTGGTACAGATGTCACTCAAGAATCTCTGTTATTTTAATGAACCTGCATTAAACCATGCAGGAAATTACAAGGCATGTGTAATTTAACTACTGTATGTGAATTTACAGCAGTAGAAATTCATAGATCTCGTCTAATAATAGAATTAGATAATAATGGAGGTATGAGGGTAGAAATGCATCTTGGAGGCTTTTATGTCTATAGTGTCATGGTTTTCCTCCCTCTCCCCCCCGACTTTTTGGGCGCACCTCTTTAGATACAGGTTTCCCACCCCCTTCCTGTCTCCCCTGCAACACATGTTTTACAGTCTTCTTGCATAATTCATATTTATTAACTCATGTTCTAGCATCTAGCCAGCTGTGCCTAAACTCATCATGGCTGTTAGATGGGCCATGGTTCGGGTTCTGGTTCTGAAGGCAGCTTCATCTTTCTCTCCTTGCTAGTAGAATTTAAAAAGAAAAAAAAAAAAACCTACTTCTTCTGGGTCTCTTCTGCTTTTGTGAGGGAGACAGTCTGTTTATGGCTTGCTGTGCAGGTTTATTACAAGAGAAATTATTTGGAGGTGAGGATGTACCTGAGAGGGTGTGTCACTTTGCTGTGACATCTGATGCCAATTGAAATGCTAGCGATTAACCTATCTATGGGTAAACGCCAGTTCAGAAAGTACTGTCATAAAAATTGATATCCCCTTCCCTTACAGCATGTGGATGATGAATAAGAAACAATATGGTTTGTCCTGCTTCCTAGAAGTTTTAAACGCTGTCTTTGAGTGTCTTCAGGCAGTGAAGGCTGAAAGTATCTGTGGAAGGTGAAGTACTCTTCCATTTAGGGTGCTTAGACAATGGCTCTGAGATTTTTTGGGGGGACTGGGGATGATTTCTTAGCAGGTTCTGCTTATATTGTAAGCTCTATGATAACAGTGCTCTATTTTGCTTTTTCAGGCTGCCAGGAGAGTGATCTTACTTTCGGGAACTCCTGCCATGTCGCGGCCCGCGGAGCTTTACACACAGATTGCAGCTGTCCAGCCAGCCTTCTTCCCACACTACCACTCCTTTGGGCTACGCTACTGTGATGCTAAGAAGGTACTTCACTGAAGGAAGTGGCAGACTGGGACTCTGCAAACAGCATTTTATTTTGTTTTTTCAAAATGTGGAGGCTTTTTCTTTCCTCTCTTCTGTCTGATGTTACATCATATTTTGAGAGACTCTCACTGCAGAGTAACATTTTCAAAAGCTCTCAACCTGAGAATCTGTAGGCACTGCAATGGTGGGCCTGAGACATGGAGACGGTAATGTTTCTTGTCAAAATCTGCCGTGAAAGCCACAGAAGTTAAAAGCTAAAAAATAAGGAAAATAAGCTGGCCACAGCTGGGAAAGGAGCCTGTTCTAATAAGAATTTGCCGCCAGAGTGTTTTAAATGTTTTAAACTATGTGACCTTTAAGCAGCTTCAAGTTTGGGCTAATTGATTTTAGAAAAAAACAAACCAAACCAAACAAAACAGTTTCTAGTCTGCTTTAGTGACTATTTAACAAAGTAAAGCCTCTACTTGAGATTTTAGACTTTATATTTCCAGGTAAGTTAAAAATGGAGGCTTATAGTGTTTGTATTCCACCCTTTTCTAATTCAGGAAATGGATGTGATACTCAGCATATCTTGAGAATAAATTAACTTCTTTTATCTCTGCCAGCTGCTTAGCCATGGTTTCAGCAGAGTTACTGAGTCCAACCACTACAAGATCTTGGCTTTGCAGGGAGCCAGCGTTTGCAGTCATGATGGCTGTCTTGCTCTCAATGTACGGGCAACTCAGCTGTGCTTGCCATCTCTAGAGCTGCTGTGTGTGTTGGCACACACTGCTGAGAAAAGAGCTCTTGCAGCTGCCTGTTGTAAAAGGAGGCTCTAGGATCTTCTGTGCTGGTTGCATAGACACAGAAAGGGGAACCAGAGTTAAAGTTCCTCCAAGTTATGATTCAGAACAACATCTGTCTAATCTGGCTTGCAGTCCAGGACAAGCATGTAGCAGTTAGCATGGGGCACAGAATGGATTGACAGCGTGAGCATGGTCCTGTAGTACATGAACTTGCTTGTGTGAGCATGGTCCTGTAGTACATGAACTTGCTTGCTCTGCTTGGTTCTCGAGTGATCCATTTCACTTGTACCTCCTTTTCTGTAAGACAGTTTGCTTGGCAGTAATATTCAGCACAGTGGTTGGAAAGGCCAAATGACCATTTCAGTGCTCAAAAATATTTTTTACAGAAGAACTGAACATCATCGGTGTATGCCATAAAAACAGCTATTCATAGGGCTTTTGTGGTTTTGTTTTCTTTTCATTGTTTAGGGTAGCTAACATATGCCAAGTTTCCATCAAGAAGATTCATATTTCAGTTCATATAAAGTTCTCAAGTCCCCTTTGTCCTGTATCTGAATGCCCACTTTCACTTTCGTAGCTAGTGTAGCGCTGTTCTATGTATGTCCAAATGTGCAAGCTACATGAGCAATTCATTGGCTTTGGTGCTCATATGCTGATACCACTGATTAAAGTAAGGCCATTAGCATTCAGAATCACAGATATGGAGCTTGAGTTCTGGAAGATGACACCATTCATATTGGCAAAGCACTGCTTTCCTGGCACAGGTTAAGCTTATTGTTTCTCCATCCATAGTAGGAATCATATGGAGGGAGAGGGTCCATGCCTTCTGCTGAGCTTCATTATCTTTTTTGAAAGATTCCTGCTTGAGTAGGGCTCAGAATACTCTCTAGAGGGAAATTAAGAGATGCAGTTTAAGATTGTTGGTTTTCTGCAGTAAAAAGGAAAGTTGAGTTGCAATGTGTGAGTCTAAATAGGCTTGAAGTTTCATAAACCCTTTGAGGGTAAAGTTCTGCATGACGAGCTGTTGCTTCAATTATGAGGCATATGGACCTCAGGTAAGATGTTGAACTGGATAAAAGAAATAAAATTGTTTTACAGAATTCAAGTTTTAACAGGGTATTAGTTTCCAGCCTACAATGAAACTCAGCATGGAGGTCACAGTCTGTATTATCTCTCCTTCAAAGCCTCTGCAGGGTTTCTAGTACAAGTTTTTTGTTTCTCTGTTTGACCTGCCTCTACTAGACATTTGAATATTGCTGGTCTTCTCAGTGCTCACTTGGGACATTTTGCTACGGTTAATGTCAGTAAATGATAGAGTGAACCTAGAAAGAATTTGGTTATTTAGAGAAGTGGGGCTGCTGGAAATGAGATGTGGATACTATTAGAGGAAAAAATGGAACTGTTGAATATTGGGTTGCCATAGATCCATTCAGCAATGAGTAAATTAAAAGGTGTTTTGATGACTGTAGTTGTTCCCTCATGACTGTAGTATGTCCCTCATGTTCCTTTTTTGCAGCTGTAACCTGAGATTGTGTTAGGAGTTACATCCTCTCTGAAGAACTGTTCTAGTACTTTTGCTGTCATTACTTAAATAGGTTCTTCTTTCTGTCCTGAAAGTGGCAGCATTATGAGTGGGGCTGGAATTGCACAGAACCAAAGAGGTTTTGCAAGGCTTTGCGAGATCTGTCAGGATGAAAGGTGCTATGTAAAAATGTTTCAGTATTGTTAATAAATCTGATTGCATTGTAAGTTTAAAGAAAAATTGACAAACCTGAACCATTCAATTTAAAACTAAAACCAGACTAGTTTCTGTTTGAAGATGATAGGTTTTATGACAGAAAATTGCAAATATCTGGCAGATATGATTAGAAAAGATAAAAAAGTTTATAATTTTGTAATTCAACCTCCCAGCATCTGTACTCTTAAAAATGCAGCAAGCAAAATGTCACCTGTTTATTTACAAAATATCTCAAGTCTGTTTCCCAAAATATGTGCTGTGAATTCAATTTTCAAACTGGGTGATGTTGGCAAATATTAAATAATTTCTATGTGAGCACATGCTCTGAATTTTTAAGGGTTTGGCAGCTTCTGCTAACACTGTAATAAGTTTACTGACTCATGTAAGATGCTGTAACACTTCGGTAAGAAAATCACAGTTGGAAGCATTTGTTCTGGAATGTTATGGATCAAAGCCAGATGTGTATTTTGGCAAAACAAATGTCCCTCTTTTCTCTCTCTCTTCTTTTCCACAATAGGATATGCTAAACTATATTTTAATAATTAAAAAATATTAATCTTTTTAATCACTAGCTAAGTGCAGCACAGAACTAGCATGTTTCCTTGTTTGCAAATTGTTCCAGTAACAGTCACCATAAAAGAAGTATAGTAATCTGAACATACTGTAGAGATTCTGCCTTTATATGCTTTTTAACATGACAGTAGATAGTATATTTGCTCTGTTTTGTGCCTTGTTCTTTTAGTTATTATGATGTTACTCTTCTGAAATGAATTGTGCTACAATGGACACAAAACATATATATTGCTTGCTTGTTATGGAAGAGGAAAGTGGATAAACATGGGCTGCATGAGTAGAATGAGGTAGCCTGAGGAGAGTGTCCAGGCCCTGCAGCAGATCTTGCTCGGCAGCCTAGTCAGTATTGATGCCTGCTGCTTGGCTACCAGCACACTGAGCAGTGGGGACAGAGGACTTCTGAGGCTGGGTGCAGCACCAGGTGGGTCCTTCTTGGTTTCGTACAGCTGCTCTGCTGGGTCCACAGAGCCTGAAGAAATGCAGAAAGTGTGCACAAAGAATGGGGCTCAGCACTGTCAGCTTTTATGCAGCATGCATAAAGCTGATAAACCCAACTAGACTTGAGCCAGCTCTTCACAGACCTGAGGGATATATCTGCAGTGCACTCCTGGTTTCAGGGAAGCGGAGCAGTAATACCCATGTTGGCTTTTTGAGGGCTTGGCTTAGATCCAGGTGGGTTTATTACCTCTAGCTGTGTACCATGGTGCTGTTGTTGGAGCCAAAGTTTTAACTCTACAAGATCCAAACTGGCTTTGTGCCTAGGGTTTGAATTGTTTTCTGCTTTAATGAACCAACTATAGATAATCAGATGATAACATATTTATGTAGGAACAGATTAAGTCAAATGAGTTTTAATGGTGGCCATAAGTGCCAGACTCTGAAGTCAGTTAATGGTTCACATCAGTACAATGTAGCAATAGAATTGTAGATTGTCCTGTGATGTCTCAACCTGAAGTAGGAATGTTCACTTTCAGATATCAGAGAGTCCTTAATTGCCCATTAGCTCTTTGATTCCTTCTCTTTCTGTCTCATAGCATGTTCTCATCTCTCTTGCATCAAAGCACCATCCCTTAATACAGTCAGTAACATGGCTAACCTCATGGCTGCTATGATTTATTTTGTGTCATGCATTTTACAGGAGGATGGAGTGAATACTTAGGAGTTTTTTCCTATTTTACTTCCATTTCTGTGTTGCGGCAGGTTTCTCTTGGGGAAGGCAAATAAAAGATATATAAAATTTTAAAGGTTAAATCTATTTTAGCAATTAATGTGGCACAAGGAGAGTGGAGCAGCAGATCAAAGGGGTTGGTGCTGAGGTTCCTCACATCTCCATTATGTGCATTTCAGGAGGGTGTATGTATACATATGTAGGGGATTCCTTTGGGTTGTTGTTCCAAGACCAGAGGTTGTATTTTTGGCTTTCTTTGGTGACACTGACAGTAAGACTTGGAATTAGACCTGTGAGGAAGATTTCCTCTCCCCCTTGCCTTGGTTTTCAGTATTACTGTAGCTGTATTTGATATACTTATTTGTGAAACTTAAGCAGAAAACTCTTATTGGTCTCCTCTCCAGAAAAATTTGTTTAAAGATGTTTCTTTTGGGGAATATACCAATTTTGATGCCACTGTTTGTCAGCTTAGTTGTTCTTTCCCAGACAACAAATGATAGACTGGGGTTATTAATAGGAGAAGTTGTGAGCTGAGTTTAATTGAAGAGATCTATGTTTTCTGCAGACAGGATCTTGAGGATAGGGCCAGTTCAGAGGCGAGTGCTTCAAGGAAGAGTAAATGAAGGGTTTGTTCAGGGGAGCTTTGAAGTGATGATGCTTTGAAGAGGCAGTGCTTGGAGTGATGTATTTTGGGCCACGTGTTATTTATGGCTTGCTTGAGTCTGAGCCAAACATGTTAATGGCAGAAACAGAGTATGTCAGGAAGCAGATCAAGAGACAGGTTACAGTGGAAAACAGGCAATTTTGACCTAGCATTTACTAGGCATGTCAGTCAAATGTAACATCTGTGTGAAGGCAGTTGGGTTAAGGATGTTTGTCCTCATGCTGTTGGAGAAGATTTTTGTGTGTCTGCTTAAAGCTGAGGTAAATGTGTGTGCATAGAACTGCAGTGAGTTCTGTCAGCCTGCCTAAAGTTGCAAGTGGAGAGCAAAGCCACCTTGCTGTGTGAGGATGGATACCAGGGCACAGTGCTGTGGTAGGGATCCTTACCTTTCTGCATAGCCCTCCTGTTCACCTCCCTGATCACTTGTAGGTAGGATAAAGGGAAGTTTATAAGTAACCTTCTCATGCTGGGTAGATTAGTTTGTACACTTCTGTCTTATCACTTTTGTCAAAACTCTCTTCCTACTGACTGTTAAGTTCTTGCCTTGTCCTGTTGCCCTGGAAATTTTTTCTACTGGATTGCCTGCAGACCAGTGTCTTGTAAGTTTGACACTGATAACTGCTTTGATGTTTCCCAGATGCCATGGGGTTGGGACTACTCTGGATCATCCAACTTAACTGAACTGAAAATTTTGCTGGAAGAGGCCATCATGATCCGACGTCTGAAATCAGATGTGCTTTCCCAGCTTCCAGCAAAGCAACGCAAAATGGTTGTCGTGGCTCCTGAAGGCATTAGTGCAAAGTCCAAAGCTGTCTTGGCAGCTGAAGCAAAGAAGATGGCCAAAGGATATGGAAGTGTAAGTCAGAAACTATTTTCATGATGAGCCACTGGTATTTCAGGTACCTTTATTTAAAAAATCAAGGGAAAAACAGTTCCCTGAGTTCTGAGGAAGGTCAGAGCCACACCTTGTGTGCAGTAGAAAGCTGTTGAAGGCCCTGTTTTAAATGATTATATAACACAATCAAAAAAACTCAGCTTTTTTTCTTTGTATTTAACTTTGTCCCTTTCTGTGAAATACCTTTTCCTCTCTCTTTTTTTCCTCTCTTTTTAGTCCTTTGTAATGGTCTTTTTGTACCTCCTGTCTCTGTACTTCTTCTGTCTTGCCTTGTAATCCCATTCACCCTACAGACACAGCCTTGTTGAAGCTGTGTTGTGAACACAGCAGTAGCCAAAAGTAGGAAGAGTGCATTTTTGCTTTTTTTATTTGTTTTTCTTGCATGGATGGCAAATGCATGTTCTAGGCTTCTAGGATGCTAATACAGTTCTGTAAGAACTTAGGAGTTTCTCCTTGCCATTTTAGTTGGGAAATGCTTTCTCAACTAAAACTAAGTTTGTGATAGGGTTGTCATCCAGCTTGTAGGAGTTGAGTAGGAGGTAGGAGGGAAGGTGTCAGGAATAGGAGTGTGTAAGTATCTGCTATACCAAGTGGCAAGTAGGAGACTTCCCCCTCCAGTCCCCTTTTGTTGTGCATTTTTAGACTGATTTTTTTCCTAGTAAAGTGTTTATTGGCAGCAGCAGACATCCCAAATCTGTAAGCAAAGAAGAAAAGGCATTTCTGAGACTCACATTTATTTATATTTCTCTCTGCAGAAACAACAAGAGAAGGAAGCTCTTCTCCTCTTCTACAACAGAACAGCAGAAGCTAAAATCCACTCGGTCGTGTAAGCTGCATGTCATTGCTTCATTCTTGCCTAGTAAAATGTGTTTTTCCTCTGAGAACAGGAAAACAGTGTCTTGGAGATAACAGTGAGGGGACATGAAGCATAGCCTCAAGCCAGCTTAGAAAAAATAGATTTTAATTACAATGCACTAAACATTTATTCTTTTGGAGTTCCTAGGCTGATTAAGTGTTCTGATCTCATTCCAGACATGGATCTACACTGTCATTTGAACCATATAAATTTACTTGGTGTTTGGGACTTGGGTCAAGTTCGCTATTCTGGACCCTATTTCAGTTTAAGGAGGCAGGGAGTAATGAAAATGAAAAGTATCAACAGAAATTGAGAAAACAAATGCTGCAGTCCTGCTGCAGCAGGAGCCCTGAGCCAAAAAGCTTTTGAGATGTATTGAGCTTTTGTTGTAGTGTGCTCTAGGGATGTCACAGCCCCTACTGTAGTTCTCGACTCTTCCACAAAACTCACAATGGACCTCATTTTTTATCATTTTATATCATAGGTGTGCTTTTAACACTATCTTCCCTAGGAATAATTTCCTTCTGTGACTTCTTGTGCTCTTTCATGCTTAGCCTTTCTGCTGGAACCACAAAGGAGTTGCTTTAGCTCCCATAGCATGACTTTTTAATAAGGAGTATGTTAATAACATGAAACCGGTTTACTTTTACACAGCGCTCTGAATGTAAGGACCAGCTGATGTAAACTGTGTGATTTCACAGTCTCAGACCTTGCTGTAGAATCTGCCTGTTTGGCACAGAACTGCACTTCAGAGTCCCAACGCTCATTTCTGTAGAAGAGTTTCTTGCTTTTATATTAGTGAACAGTTAGAAGACTTTCTTCCTTTTATTTCAGTTGCAAGTGTGAATATAAAACCATGAAGTGTTGTTTACTTGACTCTCTGGTAGGAACTAGTCTTTTTTTATTTTTTCCTGGGGTTTAGTAGCGTTTAAAATACCACTTATAAACTGCTAATGTACAGTACCATCTAGCTAATGGAACTGTCCTATGGTCATCAGCACCTCCCATGTCTTAACCTTGATGACAGTGTCTTCCATTGCTTCTCTTGAAATGACTAGCCAGTTGTTAAATGGAATATGGGAATGAGATATAATTGTAATGTGTTGGCATCTGCTTGCTTGCTACACTGAATGTTTGCTTTGATATTTGTTATAAAATACAGCAATTCCACTTCTCTCCCATATTTCTTTGTTAAATGATATTGTCACATAATTGGGATCTGAACGTCATGAACCCTGGGAGCTGTCTGCAAAGCACTGTTTCATCTTAATACAGCGCTGGAAATCCTGCTCAGTGTTTTCTGAGAGTTGCTGCTGACCTAAGCTCTGTTGTATTTAGCAGAGAACTTGGTATTCCTGATCTTAGCAACCACTTTGCTACTCCAAAGAAAAGATGACATTTGTATCATCTGTTCTGCTGGCTGTTGCTATACTTAGTTACAAATTTTAGACTTCTAGGTGTTTTTCAGGCTCCAGTTGACCTGATTGTACCACAAGTTACTACACTGAAATGGGTTCTGTAGCTCTGCTATTGGTCGATGGCAAAAGCCAGATGTTTTCATTTAATTAACACTGTTGAAGTGTGTTTAGAAGAAGTCTTGTTACCTTTCATTGGTCATTAGCCTATAGACATATGGATAATTCCTAGAAATAGCTGATGTATTTAGACTGTTAAGCTGTAGTAAATTGTCAATGTGAACCCTTGCAAGAAAAGCTACTTTTAGGGTACTCTGATCCATATATTTAGAGACCTTTTTTTTAAAAAAAATAAAAACAATCCTAAGTAAACATAGAAAGGATAATTGTATACAGATTATCTTAGTGATTGTGATTGTGCACAAGTTTAAAAATACAGAAAGGTGACTGAGCTCATCAACTAAGTATAGATGACTTCCCACTGATTGGTCTGAGATGTCACATTTCAAGTAGGATATAATAATTGATTCTCAGTGATACCCAAGTATAAATGTAGTCAGCTGTCCAAATGTGGTGAAAAAAGAGTGGATTTTGCTGCAATGTCTTTTTTTAAACTGTAGGAGACTTGACTTGCTACTTGTATTTTACTGCAACTTTTTAATGCTAGCCTACTTCCTAGTTTCTGTGTATAGATGAGCGGTATCTAAAATTTGTTGTGAGCAAAGCCTGTATTTTCTCAGCACATAATTTTATACATTTTATTTTGGTTTTTTTCTACTTTCATGTAGAGAATACATCCTGGAGTTACTGGAAAGAGGAAATGATAAATTCCTGGTGTTTGCTCATCACAAGATAGTGCTGGATGCAATAGTTGCAGAGCTGAAGAAGAAAGTAAGTAATTGACTGAGTTGTCTTAACTTTATCACTATTCCAGCTTCAAAGCTGTTTAAGAGTTCCCCAGAGTTATGGCCAGACAGATAGTATATGAAAGTTAGTGGCAGAGATAATTTCTACTTTCTGTGCTTCTGAATGTGCTCTTCACTGAGGGAGCTGAGCTGTCAGGGTGAATGCCTCACAGGATATGCTTTGTATTAACTGAATGGCTTTTGTTTTATTTAATGTTCTTTAATCTCCATTGTCTGCCTTGGAGCTTGTGAATTCTTGGAGGAGTGTGGCAATCTCTGCTTTGTCCTCCAGGCTTTCCTTAGAGAAGGAGAATGCAACAATGCCTGTCCAGCTATGGCTTCTTTCCTTTGTGGTGCTCTTAAGTTTTGAACTGGGATACTGTAGGGAGTCTTGATAGACCTGCCAATCATCTCTCTGCCTTCAAAAGTGGTTGGCTAATTACTCATGTGAGGCTTCCATAGATGCCCGTAAAGAGTTCTTGGTCATGCTTGGGGCAGTGTGAAGGATGCTTTAAGTTAATATTCCAAACTATAAGCCACAGTGGCAGGACTGACTTTGCTGCCCCTGTGGCAGCATCCTTCAGTAGAGCAAGGAGGTTGGACACTCGAGAGTAATGGCTCTGCATCACTCAAGTTTGTCATGCCTTTCCTGAAGCTACCGCAGAACAACTAAGACATGTAGGATCCCATCTCCTCCCATCATCACAAATAGGGGAAGACTTAGGGAGGTTTGAGAGTTTGTAGCAGCTGTAACATCAGCACACAGACAGTATTCAGCTTTGTATTAAGCCAGTTGCCTTTTCACTGTACTTGAGCTGCCAGCTTGTTGCTCTTGTTGCTGTCCTTCCTGTTGCTCAGGACTGATGGGAGAGCAGTGGACATAAGAACAAATCGTGCATTGTGAGCAGAGGGGAGGTACATTATATGCTGAGCTACACTGCCTCTAAGATGAGGAAAGTGTAAGCTACACTGCCTTAGATATGAGGAAAGGTCTTAAAAATACAACTGTTGCCTTTTTACATTCCTGGTTCTGCCACGGGGAAGGGAAACAGAATCCACTAAAACATGGAAGGAGGATACAGGAAAGGGGACATGTGGCCTCTAAAAAGTATCTTCTGCCTTTTCACAGCATGTTGAACACATTCGCATTGATGGCTCCACACCTTCAGCTGAGCGGCAGTCTCTGTGCCACAAATTCCAGTTATCAGAGAAGCAAGTTGTGGCTGTCCTGTCCCTCACTGCTGCAAACATGGGCCTGACATTGTCTGCTGCAGATCTGGTGGTGTTTGCAGAGCTCTTCTGGAACCCAGGGGTATGTGTCCTGGAGAGGTCAGGAGTTGGATGCTCCATGAAGAACAGAAACATTGGCGCTTAGGAAGAGATGTAATGGGCAGAGGACTTTCTTTTTCTCTGATGGCTACTTGTCCGCACACCCCCAAGTGCCTGGGCTTGAACCAGTGCGGCTGGTTACACAACTCACTGGTTGGAGAAGATGGTGTGAAAGGGAAACATGTTCCTGTTTGTTAATTTGACAGAGCTCTCAACCACTTGCCCAGCCAAGATCTGAAAGGATCCATCATCAGTGCTGACCCACTACTTCTGAAAATATTCAGTGCCTTTTGGGAACTTGGTGCACCAGATTACTTCTTGGCCTAGTCTGTGTTTGAGGATGTAGGTGTTAACAGGATCCAGATGAGAAATAGTTGCTAAACTCAAGAAACAAGATCTCGAGTTCTCTGGCACTTAAGCTATTTCTTAGATGTTGCCGTTCTCACTTTATTTTCTGTGTCATGTTTTTACATAAAGGTTTTGATCCAAGCAGAAGATCGGGCACATCGAATTGGACAGACCAGCTCTGTTAATGTTCACTACCTGGTGGCTAGAGGCACAGCAGATGACTACTTATGGTAGGAAGTGAGAAAGATTCTTTGGTTCACCTGCCACCTGTTTTCACTGTTTGTCACATATGTCCTTAATGTTAGTGCTGATTTCCACAACCTGTGAGGGGAGGAGCAATAACTGCCAATCAGGGCTGCTGTGAGCTGGTGACATGGCCTGACCACAGTGGGCATAACTAAGTGGATGACAAGCAGGAAGAACAAAAGTAGTTATCTGACAAATAATGGGCTGTTGAAAGAAATTCTGGGAGAGCTGATGCATCCAAAACCTTCACAGCCTCTGTATAAAGAGAGGGAATTATCTTAGATACAGCCTAGAACATTCGTGTGCTGGGGTAAAGTGCTGAGTACTTTCAAGTAAAGTTAACAGACACTGGGGATGGTTCAGTGTGTTGTGGATCAGATCTCAGGAGCAATCTGGCTGCTGAGTGCTTGGACAGGGAGCTGTGGAAGAGGACTGTTCTGTTGCTTTCATCTTGCTCTTCAGTGAGCCCTTTGGATGGATTAAAAAAGTGCTAATGGACCACCTCTGGAGAGCTGTGGTCTGAGCTTTTCTGGCTGCAGTGTGAGCTGTCAGTGAACAGTGGTCCTTAGGGCTGGTCAGTCGGACATCCTGGGGAAGGGGAGGATCTGAGGAATCCTTAGTGCCGCAAGGGAACTGACCTGCAAATGATGAGAAGAAATTATCCACCAGCTGGTTCATTTAAAGTCCAAAATTACATCTTTATTACCTTGTTTAAGGGAACGAATGAACTAAGTGAACTTGTGCAGTTCCCAGAATATCATGATGGCAAATAATTATAACCCTACAATGCAGGGATCTGGAAACTGCTGTATCGCCCACGTTTCATGGAAAGTTAATGACAGTAATTCTGCCTTTATTTGTGAAATGCTGTCCACGCAGTCATTAATGCTTAATGGGAAGGAAATATGGCTCTTCAAAGCAGGACAGTGTCATCCTTTTTTAAAGGCAAGAAAAAGAACAAGATGACAAGGCTATTTTGTAAATGCATTAATTGTGCTGTGGCCTTTGCTTCTTTCAATCAGTCTAGTCTGCAGGTGTGGTTGAGACCTCGTGGCCTCTTGGGCCAATGATGAATTCTTCTTCCTGCAGTACATTGGGAGATACCCTAGAAATGCTGATGTGTCCCTTGATGGGGGTTACCATTGCTTACCTTGGAGACTGAACACACAGGCTATTTATTGGGACTCCCTTTAGCTGCATCTTCTTGTTCTGACTTCATATCATTGGCGTTGCCTCAGTCAATTAGTTTCCCTACTGGATGTGGGTGTTCTCCAAATATTTATGGCCTGAAATGCTCTTCTTGCTATTTATTTAAATAGGATTGTGTGGTGGGTTGATGCTGGCTGGATGTCAGATGCCCACCAAAGCTGCTTTATCACTGCCCTGCTCAACTGGACAGGGGGAGAAAATATAATGAAAAGCTTATGGTACAAGATAAGGACAGAGAGAGATCACTCACCAACTGCTGTCACAGGCAAAACAGACTCAACTTGGGGAAATTAGTTTAATTTATTACCAATCAAATCAGAGTAGGATAATGAGAAATAAAAACAAATCTTAAAACACCTTCCCCTCTCCTCCCTTCTTTCCAGGCTCAACTTCACTCCAGATTTTGACTCCTCCCCCACAGGGGTGCAGGGGGACAGGGAATGGGGTCGCAGTCAGTTCATGACATGTTATTTCTGCTGCTCCTTCCTCCTCAGGGATAGCACTCTTCACACTCTTCCCCTGCTCCAGTGTGGGGTTCCTCCCATGGGAGACAGTCTACCACAGACTTCTCCAATGTGGGTCCTTCTCCCACAGGTTGCTGTTTTTCATTAACTTCTCCAGTGTGGGTCCCCCACAGGGTCACAAGCACTGCCAGCAAACCTGCTCCAGCATGGGCTCCTCTATCCATGGGTCCACAGGTCCTGCCAGGAGCCTGCTCCAGCGTGGGCTTCCCACAGGGTCACAGCCCCTTTGGGCATCACCTGCTCTGGTGTGGGGTCCTCCCCCAGCTGCAGGTGGAGATCTGCTCTGCCATGGACCTCCATGGGTGCAGGGCACAGCCTGGCTCACCACGGGCTGCACCAGGGGCTGCATGGGAACCTCTGCTCTGGTGCCTGGAGCTACTCCCCCTCCCTCTTCTCTGCCCTTGGTGTCTGCAGAGTTGTTTCACAGCTTCTCACTCCTCTGTCCAGCTGCAGTTGCTATTGTGCGGTTTTTTTTATCCCCTTAAGTATGTTTTCCCAGAGGTGCTACCACTGTCTCTGATGGGCTCGGCCTTGGCCATGGCAGGTCCATCTTAGAGCTGGCTGACATTGGCTCTGTTGGACAGAGGGGAAGCTTCTAGCAGCTTCTCATAGAAGCTTCTCCTGTAGCCCCCTGCTACCAAAACCTTGCCATGCAAATGCAATATAGATTGATACTTGTTTAAATGGGATTGATTGATGGATATCCCAAGACAGCATACAGTTACAAACAAAAGCAGGACAGGTTAAGGAATGAGCAAACTTTGGTAGAAAAGCCATCTTTAAACCCTGTTAAATCTTTTTTTTATCTACATATACTAAATTGCATGGTGTCCTTGCATGGTATTTAATTCCTTTCATTAATATCTGTTTATCTCTCTAGGCCAATGATTCAAGAGAAAATCAAAGTGCTGGGAGAAGCTGGTCTTTCAGAAACCAATTTCTCCAAAACAGCGGAATCCACTAATTACTGCCCTAAGGTAATTGACATAAGAGAATATCAGTGGTCCCTGGGAGAGGGTGAATGGGCTTTTGCTTGTGTACATCCAGATTAGCAGGTGATTGTCAGGCTGATGTTACACCTGTTCTGCCTTTAATATCACAGACCAGATTCTCCAACCCCTCCCAGGATCTATGCCTTGACTTGGACTCTCCACAGAGAGTTCCCAAACTTGCTGCATGCAAGGAGACTTGATAGCCTCCATAGCATGTATTTGTCTGAAATATATGTATGATATCTAATACATACAAATATGTGCATTGGGGAGTGCCTTCTCTTGCTCACTTTGGTTTTATATGACAATGTGTATGCAGATTCTGTCTGTTCTCATTTTTCAGCCAGATCCAAAGCAGAAGACCATCTATGACCTTTTCCAGAGGACCTTCTCTGAGAACAGGGATGATGCTGATGAGGTTTTGCTTTTGGAGGCAGCTGATGCTTGCTCTGAGTTTGACTCTGGCAGTGTCTTGCGAGATACAGAAGGAAATATGTGTTCAGTGAGTCCCCCAAAAAAGCGGCGTATCGAGGAGTTTTTTAAATTGTAATGATGACAGCAAAAGAGATTGTGGCTAAATGATTTTTTTTTTTAATTAAAAAACCTCCAAAGCAATCAAGTTGGGTTTTTTTTGAGTTTTCAAAAATAAAAGACTTAAGGTTTTTGTGTGTCTAGTGCATTTCATCTCAAAGGACGAGAAGGCAGTCTGACAGCGTGACAGATGAGCAGTGCACACCTGGCAGCCTGTATGTTTTGCAGTCCTGGTTTTGCTGATGACTGAATGGCCATGGGCAGGTAGCATGCTGCTTTGTTTCATCATGTCAGCTTCCACAGTTGTTTTTTTTTAAAAAGCAGATAATGGTTGTCTGTCCACAAAGCAGAACTGTTGTGAAAAGTAACTTTTCAGCAGCTGCAGAGTGCTTCTAACAATCAGTCTTCCATCTCCAAGAATTTTAGTCTGTATTTATAGGAGTCAGTTCACTGGCAAAATTTAGCCCTTACTTGTCACACACTGGCTCTCTGGTATTCAGTTTGGCAGTGAGGAGAGAAGATCCAGACAGATCTTGATGTTTTGTGGAGGTGGGGGAGAGGAGGGAGAGCCCCAGACTTTTGTCTGTGCAGAGCAGTCAGTACCTTGAAACTAAGTTGTGCAACTGTCTGCCAGGAGGTGTGTAGTGCCTGTTAGGCATGTGTCTGCCTGAGCACATGGATCTCTGGCATTCTCTGCTAAATCTTAGGACGTGGTCTGTGGCATGTGCTTCTTATGTCAGTGGAGGGTGAAGCTTGTGCTTGACTGCCAGGGATTAAGCCTGGCTGCTCAGGAAAGGGGGGGGAGGGGGTGTTTTCTTCAAGACTCAAGGCTGACTTTCACAGATGAGTGAGGAGAGGGGGACATGTGCAGATTTTTGATCTTGTTTTGTAAGAAACTGGCTCTGGACCAAGCTGTTTAAATAAAAAGTTGTTTTTTAAATCATGGTTCCCAAGCTTTTGGTACTTTTTCTATTAGAATTTAACCTCTAACTTGGACCTTAAGCTTGAGAAGTACATGATGCTGTGGAAATACTAGTGGTTTTAAGTATTTATGATGGCAGAAAGATAGGTCTTTTTGGGGATACTTTCTTTTGTGCTTTCTAAAACTCATCAACTTTCAGAAGGGAAACTCCCATGATACTTTGTAGATGAATCAGAGCTACTTCCATAATACATTTAGGTTCCTTCCCTAGGACCTGTTCTTTGCTCCCATTACAGCTCTGTGTGGGTTACACTGAGAATGCCAAAAGCAGCACTGTTGCTTGATGCAGTGATTAAAATGCTGTTTTCAATTTGTGCTAGTCTTGATCATGCTGTCAGCCATGTGAACTGGGAGACTTGAACTCCCAGCCTTGATACTGCCTGAGCAAACCCACTCTTTAGTTCTTTAAGTTAATGTCTTTCACACTTCTGGTATTAGTACCAGAAATACTTGGAAATGGACTGGGAAACATGACCAGGGAGTACAGGACAAGATATAATTTCAGAGGTACCCGTTAGCTCTCTTTTACAGCCCTAATCTGTAGAGAAGAGTAGGGGAAAAGCAAACAGAAGGCTTACATTTAGCTTCTGGATGCCAGGAGCTAACATGCTGTGCAGGCAGCGTGCTTGCCTGTGTGCACATACCAGACAATGACTAAAAGACCTCTGTTCTGTGGTCAAGTAGGAAGAAGCTTGTGCTGTAACATCAACTTGATAATAACTGGCGTATTTTTTACTGTATCAAAGGGTTTGAATATCCCATTTTCAGCAAGTGTTGTCATAGAAATGCCCTACAGGCTGCATATACAATTGTGCTGGGTGGAGACCTGCTTTTCATTCATGACTTCAGAAGGTGCTTTGTTGTGTGTGCAAGTGAAGAGGAGTAAGGCCGAGGACAGTGTGACAGGCCAGCTGGAGAAAATGTTTTGTCTCTGGATTTGAGACAGAGAGCTAAACATCATTTCTCTTGCTCCAACAGCTGGCCAGGAGATAAATACACACTGTTTGACATTTTTAAATATCTGTTGTTTTGAACACAGAGTATTTAATCTGTTTCTAGGACACGGGATCTTTCTACTTGCAGAGAGGGTTGCTTTGTGTAAGGGGTGAGAAATGTTTCCGTCTGCCTACTGAAAAAGAATATGGAAGACATTATTTACATACCCATATTGTCATCTCCTATAGGAGTAATTCTCTTCTTCCTTACAAAGCTACAGCTATGTCAAAACCGTATTTTTCTGAAACCTGCTGAAAGTACCCTTGGAGAATTCTGCTTCTCAAACTCAATTTGTGTTATCTGTATATTGATAAATCCCAGACCTGTTAGAGGAATGCCAGATGTACTCTTTATTTGTTAGGACTCCTAAAATCTCATCTAGTTTGCTGCAGTTACAAAAGCTCTTCAGGTACGCTTCAGGTTCATTCTATCCTTACTAGATGAAAAAGGGGAGAAGAATCTTGCAGGAAAGTGCTTTTAGTCATTACATCAAGGGATTAGAAAGACTGTGCAGGCCTTAGCCCAATTACACTATTGGTGTGTCAAGAATGTGATGAGCTGGCTGGGAAGCTGCCAGCAGTCTCAGACAGGATCTCCAAGGCTTGCTGATGAGAATTTGTACAAGGTAGTGTGCAGGTTGTTGATGAGAGCCCTAGGCAGGGCTCTTGGGGACTTTTACACCTGCTCATCGAAGATGGTACAGCTATAACTTTTTGGCATTATCTAAAGCCCAGTAAAGGGAAGGACCCATCTTGGAGCATTTTGCTGTGACTGGATGCCTGCTTGTACACCTGTGTCTGTGTCCACCCATGTTAGAGAAAGGCATGTCTTCAGGAAGGATGCCAAACCAAGAACAAGAGGTAAAAATACCTGAGCAGTAAAACGGACCAGTTCAAACTACATCTTCATTACATTAAGATAGCCAGCCTGGGACGTGCAGAAGAGTTCAAGGTGGTAGACTGTCAAAGCAAGGCTTTTGGAGCTCTGCTGGCCTGTCTGCATCCATCCATCTTCTCAGTCACTTAGAAATGCATGTTTATTGTGGCAGTGGTGGAAATGGCTGCCATCTGAGGGGGCTGGGTTTGGTTGGCGGCAGAGCTGTCTGTAAGACTGGTAGATGAAGCATATGACCACGTACTGTTACTGTCACAGCAAACTAACTCTGTAGATACAGACTGGAGAACAGCAGTAAATCCTCTGTTCTGGATGTGTTGGCTGAAAATTTTTATTATTTTTTTAACCAAATAGTCACAAAGCAACCAAAGGAACTTTTTGTTTTTTAAAAAAAACATTGGTATCAAAAGATGTATTCTATGAGTCATCATTATGATGAGGATCTGAAAAGGGCAAATACATTCGAGGGTATATCAAATGAGATTTTGACTCAGCAGAGGGAGATATAAATACTGTTGCCTAAAGCCCTGCTGAGTCCTTGCTTGGAACAGGAACCCGCTCGGCCAGGAGGAGCGCTTGCAGGGATGGCTGGGGAATAGGGTGCCTCCCAGGACAGAGGGAATTAAAAATCTGAGTGTTCAAACCCTCAAAGTAAGAGCCAAGAGAGGATGCATCATCTCTTCATGTGCATCTCAAAGGATAGACCCCAGCCAGGGAAAGGCTAACACAGTGACAGGGTCTTCTCTGGTCATTAATTCCCTATTAATTAGACTGCAAATGAAGAGGAGGGTTGTTGTGGGTTGAGGCAGCTGGGGTGGGTATGGGGTTGTCAGTTGTCATGGGTGGAAAGGCATCTGCAAAAAGTGTGCAGGAAGAGTTTTTCCTGATGGGAGGGGATGATCTGCAGCCAGATCTGCAACTGTCTCTGCACAATAAAAACTGACCAGATTTTCTTAATGGAGGTTATTGGGTTGCTAATCCCAGCATGGCTCAGCAGCACTGGTGCATGTTTTGCTTATGCAGGCCTGATCTGAGCAGCGCAGGAGCCCTCCCAGGTCCTGGCCCCACGCTGTAGTGCTGGTGCTGGCAGAGGCAGCTCGGGTGCTCAGGGAGTCCAACTCCACAGCAGCACAGAGTGGCTTTTATGGCTGGTTGTCTCAACACTGGATGACCCTAAGAAATAGGGTAGTTGCCATGGTGGCACATGATCAGGTAGTCTTGAAACATCTAGATTTAGGGCTGCTATGTTTTAAGATTAGTATTAATCCTCGTTGATTTTTTTTTTTTTACCCCTTCTGGAATTCCTAGTCCGGTTTGCTGTTCCTTTTAATTCTGACTACTACTTATTCTCCTTACATATGAGGTGAGTGAATGTAACTGCTCCATCTCCTTTCCTGGTCTGACCTCCTTGGAATCTGGATCCAGGAATCTGAGCTGTTGCGCTACGTCTCCCGTCGGCGCTGCTGGAACTGACGTACCGCCTGGGTTTCACACTGATACAAGGCGCTTTCTGAGCGAGGCATCTTCCAACTTTGCGTGCTTTAGGCTTTAGCTAACCCTTCTGTCTGGGGATAAAGGTACAGGATGTATAGCACAACCACAGAGCTCACGCCCCTACCGCGGGGCAGAGCGGCCTAGGCCGCGTCCTTCCGCTCTACGTCCCGTCGCCTCTGTCCCTCACTTCCGGCGCCGACGGCTCTTACTGCGCCTGCGCGGGCCGCGTTCCCCTCTCCGCGTCGGCGCCGGGCAGCAAGATGGTGAGTGGGGCCGGGGCGCCGCGGCCCATC